AGACACACACACTCTCCCAAAAAGAATCCACACTGTGTGGATTCCATTTGTATAAAATTGTACAAAATGCAAACTAATCTATAGTGACAAGATCAGTTGTTGCTTGAAAATCGGGGTTGCAGGATCATGGAGAGGGGTAGGAGGGAGAGACTGGAAAGGGGTATGAGGAAATGTGGGGGCATGAGGCATGTGTTCATTATCTGGATTGTGGTAATGGTTTCACAGGTGTATACATATGTCAAAACTTATCAAGTTGTACACTCTATATGTACTTTATTGTAGGGCAATTATACCTCAATAAAGCTGTAAAAACATATCATCACAAAATGATCTTTAGGTGACTTCCAACCGACTTCCAACTCCATTTTTTTTCATGATTCCTCTTTGATCCCTTTACCAAACTCCTTTGAAGAAACGTTATTAGCCCCGAGCAAATATCCTTTTGTTCTTAAAAGGCACCAATCCTGGTTTTTCCAACTGAAAATAAGAGAGGAGTGTTGTAAGTAATCCCCTTCATCATTATTAAGGATATAGTTCTTCTCTTCTCCCACGCTCACCAAAATCTTACTGGGATCAAATGTCCTTAAAAAAGACCTCTATTCCCTGTTTGAGGGCATAAAGAAGAAAAATCAAAAACTTTTTCCAGAAACTTCCAATCTTGTGATATAAATGAAGTGAAGACCAAGATTTTAAGAGTTGCCTGGTTCCTTTGGGGCTCACCTGGTTATTAATGATTCTGCTCTGTGCAAAAAAGGGGGTATCTTCTCCCTTTGGACTGACTCTCTCACCAACAACAAGCTTGGTAAGAGGACTAAACAAACAGCAATCCAGAGATAGCAAGAGGTGGGTAGCTGGGGTGGGAGTACTTTTTTATCCTGCTGCAACCCACAACTGTAAAATGAACTGGCCCGATTTAAAGGTTTTGCAATTTTGGGGCGCCTGGGTGGCTGAGTCGTTAAGCGTCTGCCTTTGGCTCAGGTCATGATCCCAGCGGGGAGCCTGCTTCTCCCTCTCCCACTCCCCCTGCTTGTGTTCCCTCTTTTGCTGTGTCTCTCTCTGTCAAATAAATAATATCTTTAAAAAAAAAAAAAAAGATTTAGAGGTTTTGCAATTTTTGACCACTGGTCTACATTCCTGAAAGGTTACATGTGAGATAAATGTGGTCACTCCGTGCGTGTGTGCATTTTAAGTTGAATCATTATTTTCTCATTCATTCACTATAATGAAGAAACAGATCTTCTTGGGATCACTTGAATTCTGCTTTGCAATTTACAAGCTCTGTGCTCTTGGGCAATTCCTTGACTTCTCTAAGCTTCAACTTCCTCCTCTAGAATGCAGCTGACCTCGAAGGGCTTACCTCAAGATTATATAAAATGAGAATGGCGTAGGGCCTGTTAACATGGAAAGCACTCGATAATGCTTTATGAAATTTGTATTGTAAGTAAATATCTGTTGAAGCAGAATTTCAGAGTCCCTTATCTCTCCTTCTGATAAGCCTTCATTTTGTTATTACTCAATACCACATAACTTTAAGCTTATCCCTCTCTCACCTTCTGTCACATTAATAATCCAAATCCACAAACAGACAAGAACACATTATGGGAATTTGCTATTTAAAACAGCAACGGCTAACGTTATTGAACACTTAAAATGTGTCCAACATTGTGTGTGCTTTTTTTCTTGAAGTATACGTGACATACAATGTTATATTAGTTTCAGGTGCACAACACAGTGATTTGACAATTCTATACGTTAGTCAGTGCCCACTATGGTAAGTGTAGCCACCATCTGTCATCATACAACATTATTACAATATTATGGACCATATTCCCTATGCTGTACTTTTCATCTCCGTGACTTAATTATTTTATAACAGTAAGTTCCTACCTCTTAATCCCCCTCATCTATTTCGCCCTGTACCCCCACCCATCTCCCTTCTGGAAAGTACCAGTTTGTTCTCTGTATTTAAGAGTCTGGTTTCTTGTTGGTTTGTTCATTTGTTTTGTTTTTTAGATTCCACATATAAGTGAAATCCTATGGCATTTGTCTTTCTTTGTCTGACTTACTTCACTTACCATAATACCCACCAGGTCCATCTGTGTTGTCACAAGTGGCAAAATTTCGTTTTGTTTTTTGTTTTTTTTTTAATTTGTCAGAGAGAGAGAGAACACAAGCACACAAGCAGGGGGAGTGGGAGAGGAAGAAGCAGGCTCCCCGCTGAGCAAGGAGCCCAATGCGGGGACTCGATCCCAGGACCATGGGATCATGACCTGAGCCAAAGGCAGATGCATAACAACTGAGCTACCCAGGTGCCCTGAAACTTCATTCTTTTTTAATGGCTGAGTAATGTTCCATTGTGTATATATATATATATATACCACATCTTCTTTATCCATTCATCCAGGGATGGACACTTGGGCTGCTTCCATATCATGACTATGGCAAATAATGCTGCAATAAACAGAGAGGTACCTGTATCTTTTCAAATTAGTGTTTTCATCTTCTTCGGGTAAATACCCAGTAGTGGAATTACTGGATCATATGGTATTTCTAAAACTTTTAATTTTTTGAGAAACCTGCATACTGCTTTCCACAGTGGTCATACCAATTTACATTCCTACCAACAGTGCACGAGGGTTCTCTTCTCTCCTGCCCCTATTATTTCTTTTCTTTTTGATTCTAGCCATTCTGACTGGTGTGAGGTGTTATCTCATTGTGTGTGTGTGCTTTCCTTGATCTGCCATTTATTGCTTACAACAGCCCTAGAAGTTTCGAACTATTATTACCCCCATTTCACAGATGAAGAAATTGAGGTACAGACAGATTAAATCATTTTGCAAGGTCACACACTTAATAAGAGGCGTGGGGTGGGGTGAAGGGGCAGGGTTTAAACCCAGGCAGTCTGACTGTGGACTATCTACACTTAACCACTATCCGGTTAACCACTATCTACACTTAACCACCATCTTTACTGCACGTTTTTTTTAAAAAAATGGATTTTTATAACACTTTTGTTAAAGAAATCATCACAGGCTTACCTGCTTGATAATACTGGATATTGTTCGAAAAATCACAGGGGCCTTAAGACAGGGAGTTTAGGAAATGCTAGATCATCTAGCATGATGGGAAGTTCCTCCCCAGCCTCTAGGTAAGCCCACAGTTAAACAACCCAGGACTGGCAGAAAGCTTCCTGAGAACAGAATCCCACAACTTCTACTCATAGTTCATTCCAAAGTTTAACAGTCAGGAAATTCTTAAATTACAACTAACTCAAATCCTTTATGTTGCAGGCTAAGCCCCATTCCTTGGGCTGATAAACCCCAATATTTCCATTTCTGACTCATTCGCTCAACTATTAAAGTTATTAAGCATGCCCAGCTGAATTATATACTGAACATGGAGACAAAAAGCTCCTAGGTTCCGACAGGATCACTCAGGAGATTGGGCAGGTGAGAGAAGAGGGGATTTGTAGAGACAGGGTGAGGAGACAAGAGCCCTCATTGAGAGTTATGGGCACACAAAGAGTCCAGGCCGCCCACTTGTGGGCTTTTAACCATACAAAGCTGAAACATCCCAGCGCAGACTCATCCAGAGCAAACCCGGGGTGAATTCCAAGCTGAGATGCCTGGATAACCTACGCTTTCCTTTCCCTGTGTCCTAAATCTGTCTACCACCACCATCTTGCCATTTTCTCTGTGTAAAAGCTTTTCATTTACTGAGCGCTGCAATTAAGTGGACTCTTTCTCTTCTGCAAACAAAATAACTTCAGTGGCTGAATTAGAAATGTCCCAGTGTGATGCTGCTGAACAGCCAAGGCTGCGGACAACGCGACGCCCTTAGACTAGGACACACGAGAGATCTAGATCCTGCTCCTGGTGCCACTACGCCTGCAGCCTGCATTTACTGAGTACCTAAGCACCGGGAAATGCCGACGCAGTTCCCGCCCTCAGGGAACCTACAGTCCAGCCTGGGAGACGGTGGCACGCACCAGCCCTGTGGATTGCGGGCAGGTGTTACAAAGGCAGTTAAGCTCCCGAGGTTAAGAAAGCGCCAAGGAGCGTTCCATCCACGGTTACCCTCGCACTTCCCTGAGCTCAAGATTCTGATCGCTAAAACTGGGATAGTAATTCCTTCTTAAGCTGTTGGATGGTGCTGTGGGGGCCTCAAAGGCCAAGGCTCCTAGAAAAGGATAAAGGGCCATTCAAAATAGGGACTGTTTGTTGATGAACGACGTAGTGGGGCTAATCCACCCATTGAAAGATGAGCCTGGTTCAGCGGCGCCATAGGCAAGCGCGAGCAGAGGGCTAGAACGGTGGCAACTCGCTGGTACCTGTTCCGGAAAACAACACACTTGACCTAATGGGGCCGGGGGGTCCGGAGCAAATTCCAAAGTTAGAACCTCGGAAAGCGACACCCTCAGTCACTCAGCACCCGCAGCCACGAGCGTCCTCCCCCGCCTCACTCTCCAGGCACTCCGCGCCGTCCCCACCCTGGAAACCCTAAGCCGAGGTCCTGACGGGCCGGACCGAGCCGCGGGCGCCCCCCGGCGGCCAGGCGCGGACTCTGGCCGCTCGGAGCGCGGGGGCGGGGCTGACGAACTAAGGGGGGGTATTCTCGCGTGAACTAATGGCGTCATCAAAGCGACAGGCCCGGAAGGAAGTAGCGTGTGGAGGGCGTGGTGGTTTCTACGGTTGCACGGGGGTTCGGACGAGTACGGAGCGCCTGGAGGGACAGCCTGGTACGCGGCCCCCGCCCCTTAGGGTGCGCACTGGGCCTAGTTGCGGCTTCTGGCCGAAGCTCTTCGACGGTTCTCCCGGGCCCCAGCCCTAGCAACCTCTCTCCCTCCGGGGCGAGAAAGCAACCCTTTTCTGTTCCGTCCCTTCCCCGCGAGCCCCAGGGCGTTTGGGATGCGCGACCCTCTCTCGGAAGAGGGCAGGGAAGGGAGCATTTGCAGAAAGGACGCAGCTGCAGATCGGTAGCTGGAGTCCGCTACGGTAAAATAAGCGCCTCGCAGACGTCTGAGACCGAGTTATGTTAGCCCCGGGAGGCAGAATCCACGCCCTGCGCGGGTGGGCCCAGGCACTCCTGGCTGTGAACTTTGCTGTCAGTTACCGTCGTTTTTCCAGATCCTTCAGTGTTCAGGAAATGAGTCTCCAGATGCCAGCTCTTTCTCGTCCTGGTGCTTCCCACCCTGGGGAACCCTCTTTCTCCCCTAACCATGGGCGTGGGCACCGGTGAGGTGCCAAGTGCCGGACTTCCTACCCTGGGGAACCCTCTTTCTCCTCTAACCATGGGCGTGGGCACCGGTAAGGTGCAAAGTGCCGGTCAAATGTATGGGAGGGTGTATTCAGAGCCCTCCCCCGTTTAGATCCAAAGGAACAACTGGGAAGGTGGACGAAAGGCCAGAGAATCCCAACATGTGAACTCTGCTCACATGCTGACTCTGTCTCTCCAGCATCTGAAAGGAGTAAATAATGGTTTCCTTTGAAATGGCAGGCAATTAGGACTGGGAGGCTCTGGCCAGAATTACATAACCACAACTGCCTGTCATTTGACATCCTCTGTAATTTGGGCAACATACTGCAGCTGCCTCTCTTCCCTTTTACTAGTATGAGTGACTCCAGTGGCAGCACATTCGTGTTCACAGGAAGAGAACGCTGCCCAGTTGGCACTGGTTCTCTCTTGGGGCCTGGCTGTATCTGGAGCCACTGCCTTGGGGAGGTAGGGAATATGATCCCACAGCTAAGGAAGGAGTGGGAATGTTGCCTGAGAACAAGGATGAAAAGAGTTGTAGATCTAGCCTTGTGTTCATAGTACAACAGGCTTGGCCTGAGCCACTTGCAGGGAGCTCAGCTCAGTGAAGTTCTCTCCCTGTCATAGCTTTTCTCCTGCATGTCGGACTACACACGTCTTCCTGTGTCTTTTTCCCTAGGATAAAGGTTCGCTGATGGCTCAGTTGGGAGCAGTTGTGGCTGTGGCTACCAGTTTCTTTTGTGCATCTCTCTTCTCAGCCGTGCACAAGATAGAAGAGGGACATATTGGGGTGTATTACAGGTAAGGAAGAGACAGAAGCTTGCAACTCCCTGTTAAATGTCTCTTTCTCCTAGTCACTGTCTAGCAGATTCTGTTGATTATCTGTGTCCATTGAATAGAGGAGTCTTTTTATTTTTTTTAAAGATTTTATTTATTTATTTGACAGAGAGACACGGCGAGAGAGGGAACACAAGCAGGGGGAGTGGGAGAGGGAGAAGCAGGCTTCCCGCAGAGCAGGGAGCCCAATGCAGGGCTCCATCCCAGGACCCTGGGATCATGACCCGAGCCGAAGGCAGATGCCCAACAACTGAGCCACCCAGGTGCCCCTAGAGGAGTCTTTTTAAATAGTGAGCTGTGGTGTCAGTGACCATGGAAGGGGACATACACACACACTCAATATAGATGTAAATATAAAATTTAATAGTCTTAAGTTGATGCCATGGGTGGTGAACAATAAATGCGTCTAGAAATTTAGAGACAAGATCTAAAGGAAACCAGTGCTTGCAGATCATCTCTGAAACCTTGTCTTCTCCTACATCCCTCCCGGGCATCTTGGCGCCACAAGGTTACCTCCAATGAGCACCAGTTCTTGATGGCAACTTGAGGAGCTAGCCTGCTCTGCTGATCTGTACCCACTCTTGAAAATTAACATTTCAGGAAAAAAGAATCCTGCAGATCTATATTAATCAAGGCAAGCCCTAGAGTAGTGGTTCTTATAAGAAAGGAGCCCGTTATGTCACTGTTTATTTTATTGCTCTATTTTTGAAAAAAATAATGTATTTTTTCCTTCATAACGCAAAGCAGGGAAGCACTTATAAATCTTGGGTTGCTTTCCTTTCAGTAACTTCCATAACCAAGTTTTTTCTTTAAGTCTTTTACAAACTCCTTCTTATATGTGCCCAAGATGCTTATTGCTGGATTGCCAATAGCAAGTTCTAGAAGTCTCATTGGCCTCCACTCTCCCCTTTATTTCTCCCCACCTTCTGCTCATATGTCCCCAAAAAAGGCTTTTAATTTTATTACCCTTTACATATAACTTGGCTCTAAAGGTAATACTACTGCCCAAAAAAGGTATGTAAATGATTTTTAAAGCGTTCTTAAAATTATTCTTTTGGTTGTTCATGCCCCTGGACTCCAACATTAGTGCAGTTAGTTGATAAATGTATTACTGAATTTAACTGCCCCCATGGATTGCCCCAAACTCAACGGGTATGACAAAGTTAAAAAGACTTCCTCTTCTGTTAAGGATTGCCAGGGATCCTGCTGTCTTCATTCCACTTAGCCCATGTGCCTATTTTTCCTGCCGCAAAAGCATGAATAATGGCTTTATGTTTTACCATCAGGCTTCCTAGAATATTAGGGTCAAGCTGAGAGGAAGGGGTCTGTGGAATGGCTCGGGCATATGTCTCACTCCGTATGAAATGTTTATGGGGCCGTAGAGAAGGTCGATGCAAATAGTGTTGCTGCAATTGTTACCTATTGCTGAACTGCCTCTCTCTTTCTCCTCTACAGGGGCGGAGCCCTCCTGACTTCCACCAGCGGCCCGGGTTTCCATCTCATGCTACCTTTCATCACATCATATAAGTCTGTGCAGGTAAACTGGGCTTGTGGGGCATGTTTGGGCCACTGCAGGTTTGGGGTGTTGGCAGATGCATAATTTGGAATTATTTCCCATTAGGTGAGTATAATGCTTCTTCAAGGAATCATATGTATATATATATATATGTATATATATATATAGTGTATCCTATGTATATATAAAGAATGAGGCTCCATGAACCACATACCCTAGAGCTTTATTTGATTGTTGAAAGAGTTGAATAGGGTCATTGCCTCGGCCCTTCGGCCCCAGCTGGGAATTATTTCTTCACTTCAGGGTAGAGCCAGAGAAGAATCTGTTCCGAATGTACAGAAGGAAAAGTAGGGTGTGTGTGTCTGTGTTTTCAATCACAGGTTACCAAGATAAATGGAAATAAAACATGGTAGTTTTGCTGGTTCTTATTTGAACTTCATAGATGTGAACAGAATTTGGAGAGGAAAGTTGGACTTGGTGAAGGGAAATAACATCTCAAGGAGGAGTAGGATTAGTTATGATGGACAGAAAGCCTAACTAAGATAGACTAGCTAGCCGTCTTTGAAGTATGTCCAGCCAAGAGGGATGAGATTTAGAGGATGACTTTTAAACTGACCCAGGAAGATATACTGGGACACCTCCTCAGCATTCTCCACGTTCATTTCTTCTATCATTTCCTGTGTTTGATGGTTTTCTGAGTGCATTCGTGCCCAGGACCCTAGGGGTCTCACAATAATGCTGAGAAGGGGCTGGGCCAGGTTAAATACAGAATCCTCTTGTTTCAAGACTAGTAAAGGAAGACTGTAGGGGTGAGGCAGGTCTGAAGACTCCTAATCCAGGGCCTTTGTTACTAAACCATTATTGCTTAGATTGTTCGAATGGTGATTGACTTACAGTGAAGCTGGGCTAGGTACCTTTGTTCATCTAAGTCTCACACCCTGCGTAAATAAAGAGGATTGGGGGAGTATTCAGGTTTTGTTTTGTTTTTAAGAGTTTATTTATTTATTCATTTGACAGAGTGAGAGATAGCGAGAGCAGGAACACAAGCAGGGGGAGTGGGAGAGGGAGAAGCAGGCTTCCCACGGAGCAGGGAGCCCGACACGGGGCTCGATCCCAGGACCCGGGGATCATGACCTGAGCCGAAGGCAGACGCTTAACGACGGAGCCACCCAGGCGGAGTATTCATGTTTAACAAGGCCAAAGCTCAACCCAGATAACCTCAAGGACCGGGGGTTTGGGGTTCCAAAACTAAGTTACTGTGCTTGTCACTGCCCATTTTACAGCATTTTATGTCTCCTCTATTTCTAGACCACACTGCAGACAGATGAGGTGAAGAACGTGCCTTGCGGGACTAGGTAAGGTACCCCGAGTGAAGCAGCTAATCCTGTGTCGGTGGAAGGGCTGTCTGGCTCCTAGAGACAGTGAAAGGAGAAGCATTCCTTCTCGGTGGTTTTACCAAGTTCCCTGCCTCCTTGCTCCCTTGGTTCTGATTTGACTAGGCCGTGCGGTGCAGTAGGGAAAATCACAGAAGGTAGACAGCTTCAGGAGGGCCTTGAATGCTGTGCTCAGTGTGGGCTTTTTCTGTTACAAGTGAAGATCCACCAAAAGCTTTCAGCAGATAAATGACTTGGTAGAGGAAGGTAAGCTTAGCATAACCAGCTATGGAGAATGTCATAAAGGTAGGGGGTGACCTCAGGGTCTGGAAATCCAAACAGAAGACCACTCTAGTGGTCTGGTGGAAAAGTAAAAAAGGTCTAAACTGGAATAGAATCACAGACCACCACCACGAGGAAACATGCAGGCAAATCCAGAATTAGGGCATCACACAGGACAGCTGGCCTGATGGCATCACAAGGAGGAGCTTTGGGTTGAAAAGGAGAACTAAAAGACATAAACAAAGCCATGGTGAGCCTTAATTAGAACCTGGTTCAAAAACTGAGGGTTCTAGAGGGTAGGGGGGTGGGGGGATGGGTTAGCCTGGTGATGGGTATTGAGGAGGGCACGTTCTGCATGGAGCACTGGGTGTTATGAACAAACAATGAATCATGGAACACTGCATCAAAAACTAATGATGTAATATATGGTGATTAACATAACAATAAAATTAAAAAAAAAAAAGAACCTGGTTCAAAAATACCATCTATGAAAGACAGGGGAACTGGATTAGTCCGCTTGGGCGGCCATAGAGAGTGCAGCAGACTGCATCCAAGGACCCAGCAGGGTTGGTTTCTGGTGAAGCCTCTTTTCCTCGATGGCAGATGGCGACTTTGCTGTGTCCTCGCATGGCCTTTCCTCAGTGCACACAGGGAGAACTCTGGTGTCTGCCTCTGTTCCTTTACCAAGCCCATCAGGTTGGGGCCCCAGCCCTATGACCTCATGGAGCCTTAATTACCACCTTACAGCCCTATCTCATACAGTCACAAGGGGGTTTTAGAGTTTCAGCAAATGGATTTTTGGAAAGCACACAGTTCAGTCCATAACAGGAACAACTGGGGAAATTGGAATAAGGACTGGGTATTAGAGGCTGCTAAGGAATTATTGCTAATGTTCTTAGGTTTGGGAATGGAGCCAGACTACATAGAATGTCATTATTCCTCAGTGAGTGTTACTAACGTGTTAAGGGAGAAAGAGTATCATGACTACAACTTACTTTTGAAATGCTCAGCGTAAAAAACCAGATCAATCTATAAGGTGAACTGTTAACAATTGCTAAATTTAGGTGTTTGTGTATGGACGTTAGTTGTATTATTCTTTCAGTGTTTCTGTATGCTTAAAATTATAATGAATATTTGTGGGGAAAGGAAGGTGCTGAAACAAAGTGATGGTGAAGACAAAGTGAGAAACGGTGACCATAAAATCCCACTGTGGCCTTCCAAGTTCTGAGAATTCCTTGACTTTTCTTTTCCCTTCAGTGGACTGTTTTCATCAAAAGGCATTGCAGATTCAACAGATATGAACTATTGTTTTCTTCCTGGCAGCCAGAAGTTTTACTTTTCTCCTTATGGAGATATTTTGAGGAGGTGTGGTTTCTCAGGAGATTGTGTTCTTGCTCTAAGCTCTGAAGATTCCTACTTGGAGATATCATGCCCTCTGGCCTCCTGTGAACCCCTCTGCTCCTTTTCTGCCAAGTCACACACCTGATGCCATCACTGAGAGACAGCACTATATTCCAGAGCCGACTGGTGACTTCTTTGTTCATTCTTCCCCCGACAGTGGTGGTGTGATGATCTACTTTGACCGAATTGAAGTGGTGAACTTCTTGGTCCCAAACGCAGGTACGTTTTTCCAGTTGACCTTCACCACAGGCTTACTTTGCCCAGCATGTCCCCCCATCCCCACCCCCACCCCAGGTCTGTCGAAGCACCTCCGGCTGGGAGAGCCGCTGTGTCTGAGAAAGGGAGTCCTGCCTTTTCTGACTGCGATCCTGCCTTCCCTCCCAGTGTATGACATCGTGAAGAACTACACTGCCGACTACGACAAGGCCCTCATCTTCAACAAGATCCACCACGAGCTGAACCAGTTCTGCAGTGTGCACACACTTCAGGAGGTCTACATCGAGCTCTTTGGTAAGAAAGCCTCTGCTGGCCGTAGCATGCCTCACCTGCTGTTTCGCCCACCGCCTGCTTTTGAGCCACCGTGGGGGAGGATGGGTTCCCATGGACAGAAAGTGTCAACCCCCATGCCCAGGAACTGGTCCCACGTGAAATTTCTAGAAAATGTTGATGGCAGTGGCAGAAGGTCGTGAAAGCAGGTGAGCCTTGGGCACAGGGATCACAGTAGACTAGGGTACTCCTGGCCCGAATCAGAGGACTGGAAGGCAGGGGCATTCCCACTGTCCCTAAAACAGCCTTCTATAATGAAGACAGGGCCTATTCTAGAGGAAGAACCTTCAAGATTATCCAGCCCAATGGCCTCATTTCCAGAGAAGGGGACTGAGGCCCAAAGAGAAAGATGCAGAGCTAGTTGGTAGCCGAGCTGCGGCTAGAACCTTCCTCTCCTGGCTCTAGCTTCAGAGTGCTTCTCGGCCCGCCACCCTGCATGAAGGGCCCCGGGGAAAGGTGAGGAGGACCTAGAAGTGGGACAAGGACTGTAGCTGCTTGAAGTTCCTAGTTTCTGTAAACCTGTGCATGTAGAGATGAATGGGAAAACACTTAAAAGAATCCATGTCCTTAAGTACATACTTTTTGACCTTTTTAACCAAAGTAAACATAGCCTGACTTTAGCAGCAAAGGAAAGAAACAGTTCAGTAATTGTTCTAGCTCTTTTGTGGTTAAGTATTCTGTGTAAGCTTGCTGCCAGAAGTTTTCTAGTGGCCAGTGCTGAAAAGTCCAACTATTCTTGATACCAGGACTGGACAGTGTCTTTTCCCAGGAATCTTCATTAAATAGGACCCTGAGAGAATGTGCCACGGAGTAGACAGGAGCGGGGAGGGACCCCGGTGCTGCCCGTGATCTCAGTCAGAGCCCGTTGCACGCTGTTTCTGATTGGGGAAATCATCGGAATCACTTTTAATTTCTCTGCAGTAGAAAATGAATCTAAATTCACTTTACAGGGTTTAGATTCAGTATACTTTTAAGAAAGATTCTGTAAATTTGGTATTATTTGTTTTACCTCAAACTGAGAGCATTTTATAAAAGAGCATCAGTTTTCTCTGTAGCCCTGGTTTTAGAACTTGTGCCATTAAAGGAACACTTTAAAGCATTTGAAACAAGAGACAAAGGACTCTAACTTCCATGAAGAGAAAATGAAAATATGAAATTGTTTTGTGTTAGAAAACTTCTTACTGCCAGGGCCCTGGAAGGCGCAGTTCGTGGAGCATGCAGCTCTTGATCTCAGAGTCATGGGTTCGAGCCCCACATTGGATGTTGAGATTACAAAAAAATAAAATCTTTAAAAAAGACCAAAAAGTGGAAGTTTCATATTGCCCAAGAGGTAAACTTAATAGCTTAGTGAAGCTTATTGTACAGAGAAGCTGGGAAAATGTAATTGCTTTGAAATTTTCTTTTTTTAAAGTTAATGTCTTTTGAACAAACACTGTCTTGCTTAGAATCTGTTTGTGTCTATAAAGGAGGAATTCATGTCTCTAATCCCATTCTTAGAATGTGGGAGGTTTTCCCTAGTTCTGTCCGCTTAGGCCTCACGGCCCTGACTTCCCGCATTACTGTGTAATTCTCATCACTGCTTACACTAGTGCATACTCTCTGTCCATCTTATAAAAACATTTCATAGTTCTTGTTCAGCAGTTGACCTGCAGCAACCTCTTTGTGTAATGTAACCTAATCTGCACTTGTCTGTGTGACTGTAATGTATAAACAACTTATTACCAATATTACTTTGGTAATAAACCACCTGGCAAAATAATTTCCAGATTTTCCTAGAAAGTTATGAGCCCAGGACCACAGGTGTCTGCTTTAACTCAGGTATAATTTGGTCTAATAAATGACGATATATTATTAACTTAGGGCACAAAATATCTCAAAGTTTGGTTGGTATCCTGTTGAAGTTAGAAAATATGAAATGTGATGTTTATCTATGCTGTCAAATTGTTAAACACATATCAGGTCTGAGGTGCTTGCCTTTTGGGGCATTTCTCCCTCATGCTGAGAGGCCTGTGAGAGTATATCCAGTGCGTGGAAATGTTAAAATCCCTTGCTTACCGATATGACAGTAGAGGATAGTGCTGTTTTAAAGCATAAAACAGCCCTAAAAATTAAAGCAAGTAATTAAACAAGTGTATTATTTTGGCTCCTAACTAGCTTGAACACATCACTGAACTTCCATGGGCCTCAGTCTGGTCTGGGCATCTGTTAAAGGCAGGGAGTTCCACTTGCTGTTCCTCAGAGGCCCCTGTTTTGGGCACCAGTGACCAAAAACGGCCACTTAAAGCGGGTGGCAGCCGACAGGGAGGTGATCCAGTTCGGATATCCCAGCCTGGTTCCGTGGAGTCTTCCCAGCGCCGTCCAGGATCTTCCCGAGGACCTCGCAGGCAGGGCGTCAGGAAGAGAAGGCCCTGGCCAGAGAGGGCAGCTGTGGGTGCTGCAGGACCCCAGCCAGAAGGAGGAGTCAGTCAGAGCTCCTCCTACACTTGCCTATGAACCAACTCCCATGTGAATTCCAGACAGAGCAATGAGGGCCAAGGCAAACAACAGAAGACTCGGGCTCGTTTCCAGAACCATAAATTTTCATTTTCCCCCCCTGTGTTCTTTGATGGAATTCTTAATGGAAATAGTCTTCCTTGGGGCCTTCATTGACGTCAGAGTCTGTTTTTCTTTTAGAAACTTCTAAAATGACTGGATTTCAATGGCTTGGCTCTCTTCAAACTACCTAGCATAGCCTTCCTTCCTCTTGAAAACGGGGTGCCTGCCTTCTCTTTAGCTGCTGTTGTCTAGGGGAAGGCTGCCGCCCAACTCAAGAAATGTGCGAGATTTGTTTGTTCTTTTTCTTATTAAAGCTTAGTTTCCTGTCGGGCAAGGTTGCTATTTTCTACAGCCTCGGGTGATTGTATCTGGAGGCCACAGGAAAACGATACTCTCACATCCAGCTTGCGTGGAGGGGCTGTGTAGGTGTGTTGCTTTGAAAGATGTGCCTGGGGATCTTCGGATTTCTGGGCTCTGATAAGCACTCTGCCTTGGAAAGCCCTTTGGCCTGTCAGGTGCATTCTTGAGTAGTGTTTTAGTTTGTCCTCTACCCACCTGCTTTCCTCCACCCTGCCTACAAAGTGGAACAACTTTTTCTGTCTTTCTTGATTCCAGATCAGATTGACGAAAACCTCAAGCTGGCTTTACAACAGGACCTGACCTCCATGGCCCCCGGGCTTGTCATCCAAGTAAGCATTGCCACAGTGGGAGCACCCTCTGTTGAAGGGGCACCCCCTGCCTTCCAAGGGATGTCTTTTTTCTGCGGGAAGATGAAGGGCTAGTGGGAGCTGCTCCTGTCCCTCACCACCCTCACCTTCCCATCACGTGCTATTTTTATCCTTCTCCAGGCGGTGCGGGTGACCAAGCCCAATATACCTGAGGCAATCCGCAGAAACTACGAGTTGATGTGAGTATTCCCTCTGCCCAAGCTATATCCACCACTCTCTCACACCCCACCCCCCACCTCATCCCATCCCAGAGTTAACCGAAGCCGTACCAGACGCTCATTCCCCTTCTTGAGCGTTCGTTACAGCCCATCGCTCTGTAAGATGGAGCGGGTGTGTCAGGAGAACCACCTGGGCTCTGGAACTGTGATGGAGAGCCACAGGAGAAGCTCTTTCAGCTCTTTCACGGAAGGGCCAGGGGGTATTGTTTGTGCTTCATGGATCATACCAAAGAAGATGGGAGCGAAAGATGCTTAAGTGGGCTGGCAGGTGCATTTTATCAAAGTAAATTATGCTTTATTTCCCACAAGTGAGTTATTTTGGAGGCGAAAGAGAGCCATGTTACTGTCTGCAACAGATCTACTTTCACTTGGGACATTGAACAGCCTTCCAAGAGAGAGGAAGAACTCACAGTTTGCCTCTCAGCAGAAGCCTGGCTTCTCCGGGGGACAGTGACGTTCCTCAGAAGCTTTTTCCGTGGTAGCCCCACAGCTTCGTACCTTTTTTCCCTTCAGGGAAAGCGAGAAGACGAAGCTTCTCATTGCAGCCCAGAAACAGAAGGTGGTGGAGAAGGAAGCTGAGACGGAGCGGAAGAAGGCCCTCATTGGTCTGAATGTGGTTCTGTGATCACCTTACAGGGCGGAGCAGGCTGAAGAGGGTGGCGGGCAGCCGCGAGGTCGCCTCAGGCACAGCTAGATCACAGTCTCCCAAACCCTTGCCAGGCGCAGGAGGGGTATTCATACTCCCGGAAGCAAAGCTGAAGTTGTCAGATCATGGCCAGGGGCAATGAGCTTTGAGTCTCCCCTTATCTCTGAAATGAAAGGAACCTTTCCTGTTAATTCTTAATGAGTAATAATAATGGCTAATACCTATCGACCAGATATCATGAGTCATATACTTTTCTAAGCACTTATATGTGAATTACCTCACTCCTCACAACCACAAGGTGAGATAGGTACTACTGTTAACCTCATCTTCCTGAACCGGAGACCAGGGGGGTTAAATAACATGCCCAGGGTCATATGGCAAATAAGTGGGGGAAACGGGGTTCAACCCCAGGGACTCTGTCCAGAACCTGGTTCGTAACCACTGCACCAGATTATCAACCACTACTAACTGCTTCCCAAAGTGAAGTGGCAGGAAGAAACTGTTTGGACAGTATCTCATTCCTTAGACTATCCCTCTAGGAGAAATACCCTTGTGACTTAGGGGAGAGGTTAGGGCTTGCTCCTCGCTTCCGCCGGAGAGCCCAGGTCTCTCCATTTACTGTCTTATGCTAATGTTGTGGTACTGCACTCACTGGTACAATCCATGTGCGCCCACACGTGCCCGTCGCAGGCCTCTCCCTCCGAGCTAACCCACCAACCAGCCAGCATCAGGGACTCAGGAAAGGTCAAACAGTCTGGCTTTTGAAATACCAGTGCTCTGAGCCTTTTCTCAACTTCATTTCTGTAGAGGCAGAAAAAGTGGCTCAGGTCGCAGAAATCACCTATGGGCAGAAGGTGATGGAGAAGGAGACAGAGAAGAAGATTTCAGAAATTGAAGGTGAGCGTAGGTGAAGTGAACGTCCAAGGTTTCTTCAGGCCCCACACCTTGTGGCAAGGGGGTGGGAGAGTCATTTCCTTCGCTCCTTCATCTTTGTTCTAAGAGGTGATAATTTCTTTGGAAAATCACTTCTCTGTGCTTTTGATCGAGTTCGGGGGAGATATGAAGCCAGGCTGCCGTCAGTTTTCCACTTCAGAGAACATTCGCTCGCTCAACAGATGTCCACTAAGTGCGGCTAGGCGCGCTTGTGTGAGGCCTAAGGGAAAAGGAAATCATTTAAGTCCCTGCTATCTCAGAGCCTTGGAAGTGAGCGAAGAGGTGAGGCCAGAACAGCACCTCCTCCCTGTGCCTTCCCTAGCCCCCTGCACATCAGCGAACACCACAGCTGTGGCCTCTTAAGTCTGCTCTCGGCACCCCCTGTCATGGTTACCAAGACACCTTTTCAGCACCAACAACCCTGGAGCTGGAGAAAGAGTGCTTGCTTTGCTGGCTTTTCTGAACATGATTCACGTTCAGTTCCCTGCCCCTAAGCCCTCAGCTCGTTCCCACCGCCTACCCTTCCCTTCATGTGGTGCCTCAAGTTAAGAAAATTCTAGGACAAAAATGCGACCTCGAGGCCAGCTTCAAAGCGCTGTGTCCACTTGTACTCACTATGGTATGGGGCCTGTCAGGTTTTGCGGGGGCCCGGTGAGGAGCCAAGTAGGATTTTACAGATTAGTGGCTCCTCATTAGGGAGCTCTTAGCAAAACAAGACATTTTTATTTCTTATAAAAACATGTCATCAGGTGCTAAGGCCGCTTGAGTGGGCCACAGGCAGCCAGCACCCCAGCCAGACTGCACATTCCTTCCACCCTGCATCGTGCTGAGGGTGTGCAGGAAGAAAGCTGCCCCCCCCCCCAGACTGGCTGTCCTTCCCAGGCTTCTGGCTACAAATATTACTCACAGGAGGCTGGCCTCATTCCCAAGGCAAGAGAGTAAGCATCAAAAATTTTGCATCAGGTGGTGCCTGGGTGGCTCCGTTAGCTAAGCGTCTGCCTTCGGCTCAGCTCATGATCCCAGGGTCCTGGGATCGAGCCCAGCATCGGGCTCCCTGCTCTGCAGGAAGCCTGCTTCTCCCTCTCGCACTCCCCCTGCTTGTGTTTCCTCTCTCACTGTGTCTCTTTCTGTCAAATAAATAAAATCTTAAAAAAAATTTTTTTTTTGCATCAGCTTGACAGAATCTTGTCTCAGCAGATTAAGGAAGTTGTGCACAGTGGAAGTTGAAATAGGTCTTCATGCAAACAGGTGTTAGTCTGGACCAGGGCATGTAGTTGCCTTAGGTAGAGTTATGTCGGCTTCACCACTGTTAAAGAGTACCTTTTTTGAAATGATCGATGGAAATAAAAAGGGAAGTGAAACTGGAGAGGGACCAAGCTGTTTTATGTTCGTGGCATTGGGTTTTAGGCGGAGCCACCTCTGGCTGTATTCAGAGCCCTCCCTGGGCTCCTGGTGCTGTGGCTGTGCAGCACAAGAGGGATGGGGTGGAGAGCTCTGAAGCTGGACATGGGGACAGGGCCCACGTAGCATCCCAGCCGTGGAGCGGCAAGAGGCATAAGCGCGGGGAACCAGGAAGTGTCTCCTGGACAGTGCTCTTCTCCAGCCTACTGTCAGAGATGTTGCTGGGCACAGCCACAGACGTGCTCCTTGTTAGTCCCCACCACAGGGAGATGCCGTCCAAGCACCTCTTTGTCATGGTTCATTTTCACCATGATTTGTGAAATAGGGGAAAATGCCTCGTTCTGCATTTTGCAGAAGAGGAAACCAAAGCACAGCGGAAAAAGAGCAGTCTCCCCGAGGTCGCAGAGGGGGGGTGGGGTGGGAAGGGTCCAGGGCCCGGTGTTCTGGTGGCTTCGGCACCACGTTCACTGCCTTCGTGTCCCCAGATGCTGCGTTTCTGGCCCGGGAGAAGGCAAAGGCTGATGCGGAGTGCTACACCGCTATGAAGCTCGCTGAAGCCAACAAGGTAAAGCCCAGGGCCATCTGGGGAAGAGAAGGTATATCTGGCTTTGGGCTAATGTTTGAGAGTTCCCAGTGTCGGATGGCCACCACCACCCGAGCCCCTCCTGGCCAGAAGGGGTGGCCGCTGTGCCGTGGGGGACAGGTGCTGCCCTTCCCATTAGCCGAGTCTCTGCAGAAGTTTAATCGTTGTGTGAAACAAGGAAACTCCTAAAACTTGCAGCTCTGACCTCGCACATCCATTAGTACCCTGTCACTAATAGAACAGTGAGGCCAGGAAGAGTCGAGAGGGCACATTGCTTTGCCAGAGACCCTCTCCTTGTGAAAAGTGAAGGATGCCACCCAGAGTCTTCTCGAACCTGGCTCCACCTAGTCTGCTCTCATTTGTTTCTTACAGCTGAAGCTAACGCCTGAGTATCTGCAGCTGATGAAGTACAAAGCCATTGCTTCCAACAGCAAGATTTACTTCGGCAAAGACATCCCGCATATGTTCGTGGACTCTGCGGGCAATCTGGGCAAGCAGTTTGAGGGGCTAGCTGACAAGCTGAGTTTCGATGATGAGCCCTTGGACGTAGACCCTGAGGAGAATTGAAAGTTTTTTGTATACAACCTCGGATGACACTTAAAAGAGATCTTTATTTTTGAATGATGAACCGAGATGCCCCTCCCTCCCACACTACCTGCTTTGACTCTCTTCCACATTCTGTGGTGAAAAAAGAAGAAATGGATTTAAATCTATTCCCCTTCCTGGGAAGGGAGGGCAGGGATTGCTGATTTGGGGTCTTATTCAGGTAAGCGGTTTAGATGACTTCTGTTAAGGTGGGCAAACCATGGGTTTGACCTTTGACCTCCAGACACTAATTTTAGCCCTTTGAAGCTGGCTTAAGTAGCGATTCAATCATTACAGAGTGGGAGAAATAGAGGGTGTTGCCTCCAGGTGATTTGCTTTCCCCGATTTGGGAAAACGCGGTCCAATTTTCTCACCTCTGCCTCCAAGGCGGGAGATGCCTGTAGGTGAGGCTCAGCAGCTGAGCAACTGTGTGCTTGTGAGTCTGCCCACAGAGCTGCAGGGGAACAGCTGCAGAGAACGTTTGGCGTTGCTGGTATTTTTGTCGGCATATGTGAGTCATTTTAGAGGTACGCTTTCTCGAGCCCTCACAAGGAAGGACTGGTGCTAGGTTTTGCAAGCTCTTCTCTCCTACCCTCCTTGCCCCAGGGCTTAGAGAGCAGTGGTTTCTGACTACATTCCAGAGTCAGGGTTTGGGCACCACCCCACAATTCTTTTTAAAACTTTTCACCTGTTCTGTGATTTGTTTTGTTTTTTTTTTCTCTCTCAAATCTGTTCGTTGATTCCACTCAGCATTAGGAAGATAGGAACAAACAACCCAAGTGTCTTACTAGCCGCTGAAGGGGGATCGTTCCGTCTCTCAGCCACCATGGTACCTGCTTGGCAGACGACGTATGTTCTCATTGTGGAGGTTCTATGTTGAAGAGCTCCTCTGGCGGCTGAGATCACCTGAAGGATCTCCTGGTCTTAAGCTTATAGCTTGTGCCGGCCATCTGTCTGACAGAGTGATAAAAAGGGAGCCCACTAAGTAGCACATGTTTTGAAATCTAGGGCACCGACAGCCACACGGGTCAGACTGAATGCTCTGTCTCCGGAGACAGTTTGTGGGGTCCATGTCAAGAGTTCGTGCCCAGGTCCCTGGATTGGAAGGGCTGCATCAAAATGTTCAAATGTTTTGGGTTTGGGTTTTTTGGGGTTTTTGTTGTTTTTTTTTCTTCATTTCTAATTAGGAAAATTTTGTGTCATTCTGGGAGATTTGGGATGGAGGAGAACAAACATGAAAGAAAGGTTTTCTTACATCCCGAAATTGGGGTCGGGGGATGGTATCCAGCCTATGGCCATGCGTTGTGTACCAAATTGTTTGCTTAGCTCCATCTAACTTGCAGGCATGTCGGTGTTCTCCGTGACAAACTCTGGCTTAGGATCTGGCCTTGTTCTTAGCTGCCCTCCCCACCACCACCACCAAAGAAACTACCACTGTACCAATTTTCCCTCAGTGATACTATGAACGATACTTTCTGGCACAGATCCCCACCTCATTTTTGGTCCCATGCCCAGACTTCTGCTTTATTGAATGGCCCTGGAATTCAGGCCCCCTTGCTCCCAGGTAGCACCAGGCTTGTCTTGAGAGTCTGGGGAGCATTCAGCGCGCTTAGGTAGAAACAGCATGTTAACTCCTCTTAATTCAAATGTTGCCCTTCCCTGTTCTAATTTCTGGGACTTAGTATTCTCAGACCACTGGTCCTGGTCACACTTTGTGCAAGCAGCCAACTGTTCGTGGGAATGATGGATTTTAATGTGCTCAGAAGTGCTTGCAGAAGACAGTCTCCCAAGGCCAACACAGGGTATCCATTATTAAGATATACTCACCCTCCTCCCATTTCAATGCCATTAATCACTTGTTAGGAGCAACATGACACATGACATCCAGCTTCCCCAGTTTACATATTTGCTCCCTCTACTCTGAGATTTGCTGCCTAGGGCTCAGAAAACACTACTTCAATAGAACAAAAAGCAAGAATATCTCCACCTCTGGATAGCACGTTTGCTCAGGTTCCTCACTTGAAAGCCCAATACTAACATCCTGTGACAGCTTGTCCCTTGCACTAGATATACTTTAACTACAAAAGAGCCTCAATGAAGTAAAATCCTGCTGCCCCTGCCTCCGTCAATGCTAATGTTGCTTCCCCTTTGAACAAAAAATATCAATGTCATAGTGCCCTTCAGTTTAAATTCAGTGGTCATCTGCACCTGCCTGAATAGTAAAATCATGGAACTCAGCAGTTTCCTCAGCATGGGACGACTAACCAATCTGTGCGATTCTGTGTCTTCAACACTCACTAGAAAATCTGATCTTAAAACATTTGAATTCTAAATGTGTAAAATGTGACAGCCTACACTTTTGTAGGCAGTAAAGTCATGGCTGCTATTTGTAAATGGAACTTCTATCAAAATAAGTAGCTGTTTATAAAATTCAGTTTTTTGTAGGATTTTTCCAAGGAAAAGTCACCTTGGTTGAATGTTTCTCATTAAACTTTACAGAAGTGGTTCATATTCAGTACTGTTTTTAATCACTTTTTTGATATAAGGATAGAATATTTGCAAGGAAGCCAAAGTTTGTTAATAATTTTTATAAGACTAATATAAACTTGAAGGGATCTGTGGTCATATTAACTTGAAGGAGGAAAAAAAGATAATTGAAAGAATTCTGGCAATATATTGATCCAAAAAAAAAAGTTGTTTTCTAAATGATCTGTTGTGATTTCTATGGGTCTATGTATCTTTCTGCACTGATGACTCTGCCATTTACAGCGAGTAAGTAGTGAAAGTAAGATCATCGTCTTTACTGACTTATCAATTTAAGTTTGATTGAAGATAAACCTCAATCCTCAGTTGAGAATAAACCTGTGTGTTGTTGGCTAGTGACTACTCTGTGTGTCTGAACTTAACGGGCTACTTCATTAGTTCTACTCAGTAGGGTTCGAGCCACTGTTTCTATTGCTTCCTTAGAAAAGAAGTAATAGCCAATCAGTTTGTGTTTGGATTTCCATTTCTTTTTATTTCTGCTTTTGTGTAAGCTGGTGATTGAATAGTCAAAACTAATTCTTCTTTCAAAGAGCCCCAACAGTTTAATGACCCCCTTTGTAAACAAGAAATGATTCTTCTATTAATCACTCTATAAATAATATGCTGGATTAATCACCTTGGGTTGATAGCTGGAGAAATTGTTTTAGACCACACTAAAGGTGTTAATTTATGTCTCAGTTTTATTTTTAGTCTTGCTAAATAAAATCATTCTTCTTTGTATTTACTTTTTTTTGAAGTGAAATTTAGTAATAACTGATAATATTAGGATAGGTGATACAAAGAAATAAAATGTCCCTCCCTAGTGAGTGGAGTGCAAGATCACCCTAAAAATATATTCAGATGGCTATCCCCATTATCAAGGTAGAAACAATAAGTAATTTGTAAACACGGCATGATTCTTGGTAGGTGCTATGGAAATTGATCATTTTAAAGAATCCATTCACTGCTGCAATTCTGGCCCAAAAGGTAGAGATGCTTTCAGTTGACCCAAAACTCATTTTGATATCAATTCAGTGAGAAAGTCCCAGTCTCTAATCTGGAAAGCTGCCCAGCCTAAAGCTGCCAAATAAAATACACAATGCTTGTTTCAATTTGAATTTCGTTTAAACAACTAATAACTTTTAGTATAAGTATGTCTCAAATACTGCAGGAGACATACTAAAAAATTATTTGTTATTTATATGACACACACATTTAACGGAATATCTTGCATTTTTATTTGCCAAACATGGCAACCCAAGCCCAGGCTTCCTCAGGTTTTTTAACGGTGCTCTCAAACTTTCTCTGTTGGTCTGAGATCCCCTACACAAATAACATGAACTTACAATCGAATAGGTAAGTTAAGAATGTAGTCCCTTTGGTTAGACTGCCATGATTCAGATCCCTGCTCCACCATTTCTATATATATATGGTCTTAAATAAATTCTTTAACCTCTCTGAACTTTAGTTTCTTCATCTATAAAATGGGTTGAGTATTAAATGAAATCCTGCATGTGAAGGGGTTAGCACTGGGCCTGCCGAGTATAAAGTTTTCAGTCAGCTGGGAAAACAGGCTAGAAAGCACACAGCTATTAAGTGGGTACCACTAAGTAGAAAATCAAAAAAATGTGATAACACAGAATAAGATCATAGCACAAAGAGGAAAAAGGGAACAATATTGGAATGCAGCGAACAGTATTGAGAATACGTACATCTACAGAAATGTCATATGTACAAAATAAGCAGGTTTGGCCCTCTTGAGGGGAATTCCCAGTTCAGGGCTCCAATTTGGAAAAAAAGACTTTTAAGAGGAGGCTGGCAAAACAAAATGTTAAAACCAAAATTTAAAAAGTAAAAAAATAAAACCAGGGGCGCCTGGGTGGCTCATTTGGTTAAGTGTCTGCCTTCGGCTCAGGTCATGATCCCAGAGTCCTGGGATCGGGACTGGGATCAAGTCTTGGGATTGAACCCCTGTTGGGCCCAGCTCCTTGCTCAGCAGAGATTCTGCTTCTCCCTCTCCCTCTGCTCCCCAGGCCCCTGCTCGTGTGCATTCTCACTCTCTCGCTCTCGCTCTCTCAAATAAACTCTTATAAAAAAATTAAAAATAAAGCCCATGGGTTGACCCCATAAAAGGCAGAAGGGGAATTTAACGACTTTGCTTTATAAAAGTTGCATAAGGGTTGGCTAGGTATTCTCTACCTCCTCTGAGACCAATGAAGAGGAAATTAGCTTGCAGAATAAAGTATTTTAGAGGATTTCACTTAAGATTGGCTAAAATTTGAAATCAGGAGAAGTAGTTGCGTGCAAATAGAAAATAAATCCAGGGATTAATATAAATAACATTTTCTTCTCCGATGGTCTTCAGAAATTGGGGAGAGTCTATGCTGTTTGGGATGGTTTAAATGTCATTCTATATGAAAGATCAAATGATCTCTAAAGGTCCTCCCCCAGGTCTGTGGTTCTGGAATCTGTATTCACATTTCAAAAGCCAAATGTGACCGTATGTTTGCTGAGGGATTGTTGCGATGGCTTCTCCACCTCAATTCATTTAAACTGGGACATGGGCATTATTTCTCCATTTCTCTTTAGAGCTAAGTAACCAAGCAACTGTAATTTTCTATTATTTTATCTTTTTTTATCCCCCAAAAGAATCACAGTAAGCTCAGAAGGAAACAGTTTTAAAATCCATGAATGTTTTTCTCGTAATTAAGGGCCTCAGATGACAGAGGTGAATGTTTTAAATGCTTGATGGCATTTACGGTGAATAAGTATACTACATTTTTATAAAATTATTTATAAAATCTTTTCCTCTGGGTGTTTGGCTTTTTAATCTTTCTCTCTTCCTCTTTGTCCTTGCAAACTGTTGGAGCAATTTGAAGACAGTTAAGGGTGATGAAATGATTGTGGACCTCCATTTTTCAAGGATTAGGGAAGAATGAATTGTTAAATTAGATGGTTGATGTCTGAGGAAGTGGAAGAGAAGAAACTAGAAAATAAGGGAAAAAAGTGGAATAAAATTCATTCAGAAGCATAGCTGAAATGTGAAATGATGAGACTCGGGTCACCTTGATCTTTACTTCCATTTTCATAAGGTTATAGAATGTTAGAGGTGAAAAGCATCTTAGAAATGAATCCACAGTAAAGCCTGTCTTATTCATCCTGGTCTCCCCCCAAGTTATCTTTACAGAGAAATGCCCCTATATATATGTTGACTGAATAGATGAGCAGGGTGGAGAAACTAACATTTATTGAACATTTGCGCTTGCTATGGGGGAGCACTCTGCTAAGTGTCTTACACATGTTATCTTGATTGATCCCCACTGCACCTCTGAAGGAGACACGGACTCCATTTTATAAATGAAAAATTGAGAACTTCGGTAACTTATTCAAGATCACAGTTTAGTGAGGAAACCAAGATTCAATGTGTGGCAGTTCTATGCCACCACTACCCAATCTTGGCACCACTGTCCTTATTAACTTGAAATCTTAAGTCACTCTAACGATGCCTTTTTGGCATCAATATGGGGAATGGGAGTGGGGGAGGTTGGCCTTAAAATTCAAAGAAGACACCTGACGTATTAAATGATATCTATTAAATGAAGACTCCTGCTTGTTGTCATAATAACCCATCCCCTGGATTCTATGCACATCCTTTAGATCTGATGAGGTATTTATGGTTTTTAAAATGTTTTCCAGGGGCACCTGTGCACCTCAGTCAGTTAAGCATCCGACTCTTGATTCTGGCTCAGGTCATGATCTCAGGGTCATGGGATGGAGCCCCATGTCAGGCTCTCTGCTGGGCATGGAGCCTGCTTAAGATTCTCTCCCTGTGCCCCTCCCTGCTTGTGTGCTCTCTTTCCTTAAAAAAGAAAATAAATGTGTTCGAAGTAGCCTATCACTTTAAGTATGTCATGTTCACCCAATCCTTCCTTATACATATCTTTACCGCGGTCTTAGTTGCTATAATGCCCTTTGTTCCTCCCACCACTGACTGCTACCTAGCGCCTTTCAACTCCCTATCTCTACAGCAAATTATTCACACCATGAAAGCCTGTTCTAATCATGTGTTGTTATCATTTTGTCAGGAGTAAAAATTATCAAGTCCAGAGCCATTTTATTTCAACATAATTCCTACTAATGTCTTTGGCAACCCTAATTTACAAACAACCCAGTTACCTGTACCTGGTAAAGAGAAACTTCCCAAAAAGTAGTCCTTGATGGCAAGCACCCTAGGTTCTGTTCAAAAGTGATTTTCCCAGAGCACAACATACAAAATTTCATCTCATTCTTGGGGTCTGGGAAGACGGTGAGAGAAGAAAGAATATTGCCCTTTATTTCCCGAAGATTCGAAGTAAGCCGAGTGGCCCCAAGACAACCTGAGGAACAAACTTTAGCCTTTTCTCCAACATAATAGCATCCCACTTCATTAAGTTGAAATGCCTGAGAATCTTTAAAAGGTACAAAAGCGCTTTCCTTAACACAACTGATCTCTTTCTACATACCCACAGCACCTACTATTTCACCATCTGACTATCAAACTTTGTATTTTACTGTATTAGTAAAATTTATTGTTTGGCTCCTCCTCATGTTTATGACCTTCGTGTGGCCCAGAGCTGGACACATAGGACACTCAAGAATCGGACTGAATGTGTGCCGAGGTCATGCTAGCCGTCTAAAGCTGCCTGTGCTCTCCTCCAGTAAGGAGCGCCAGCCGCAGGTGGCTACTGACCTTGTGAAATATGGATAGCCCGAACTGAGGCATGCTGTAAATCAAAACTACACAGCGAGTTTTGTAAGTTAAGTACAATGAAACAAAATCTCATGGCGCCTGGCTGTCTCAATGGGTAGAGCATGCGACATTTGATCTTCCGGTTGTTAAATTCAAGCCACACTTGGGCATAGAGATTAC